GGAACTCACCACCATTCCGCTGAGAGCCCTCCATCATTCCTCACAGGATTAGAGACAAAAAAAAAAAAAAAAAGACAGAAAGGGAGAGGGAGAAAGTTTCATGGAGGGATTGCTCTTTTACTTTTCGTTGCTGGCAGAGACTTGACCATAATTTAGCTGAAATAATAGAAGTTTTAAAATTGCTAGCAGTGTCTCCCTCTGTTTCTCTCCCTCTCTGTCTCTGTCAATTTCAAACCAGATGTCAATTTTTAGGAGACACAAGGAGTCGATGTTCACTGGTGAAGCAGCGTTTGAAGAAGAAGAAGAAGAAGAAGAAAGCTCAGAAATGGCCCATGTGAAGCATATACAGTGTCTGGCTCGCTAACAGATGTACGCTTCCTCTCCATGGGGGTTTAATGAGTTTGATACATGAGATATATTTTTTTTCATCAACAGTCAACTCCACCTAGTGGTGTTTGTGCTGAACAGATTTCTGGCTGCAGCGAGGAATGAGCTGTTAGAAGGGAAACAGTACACCGGCAATTGTTTATCTGCACTGAGTCACTTTACACTGAGACTGCTGGGAAAGGGAAGATCAATACTAAGCTTTTTGATGTGAATCCCTCAAAAGCTACAAACTGTGCAGATAATGTTGCCTCCGAGATCCGACTCAATTCCTCGGTGGCGTAAGGCTGTCCATTGTGGGAGAGCAGTTGTAGACTGTGTTAGTGGGTCTCTCCGGCACCTCTTGGCCTGGCATCTGTGAGGCTTGCTCACACTTGCTTTCACCCAGCATGTGTTTGCTCAGATGAAGGAAATTATGTAATTAGCCTGTGAGGGATTGTTTTCTTTCACTCTTTACCCCCCCCCCTCTCTCTTGCTCTCTGTCTTTACCCCTCTGTCTTTCTTTCCCTCCCTCTTCTCTTTTGCGCTCGCTGTCTCTCTTTCTAGTCCTGTGACAGCAGGAGATGGTTCCAATTTAATCCGAACCACACCCTAGCTCACCTCCTTCATTAATTGCCAGGGACCATCAGTGGAAGAAAATGAGTGCCTGTCATACAGATCCATCTTTAGATGTTGAAGAGCAGCTTTGTTGCACATCAAAGGGGGAGTTTCAGAGGTGTATGAGGGAGTGGAAATGGAGGCTTTGGGTGTGCGGGGTGTTGTGTCAGGGTGGGTTTTTGGTTGGGTCGGGTTGTGTGTGCTAGGAGATGGGTGCAGGGGTACACACGGGTAGTAGTGAGGGGGGGGGGGACCTGGCATTTTGCTCTCTAATTCCAGCCAGCCTGGAGGCCTGGAGCGCTAAGAAGGGCCTCACTGTTGCTCTCTGGATCAGCCAGGTATTGCTTACATAAAAAGCAAGTGAAAACAGCTGTAGGGATAATTAGCTTGATTCTCCATTACATGCCATGAGGGCCAATAACTAAAAAATGGAGTTTTGTTTGGGTTAGAGCTGCAGCCCCAACCAGGAGGAAGTTGTAAAAGTCAGGCAGAAAAAAAGAAAGAGAGGGAAAAAAGGAGAAACGTAGGGAAGAAAGAGCGAGCTCTTGAAACAATTGTTGCAGAGGAGATGTTCTCTCTTCCTGGGACGGCTTGATGTAGACCATATTTTTTAAGGGTTTTAAAAGGCTATGGTTTCAGAATGATTGGATGGGAATGTGTGCCATCCACATGTTTTTACCCATCTAATGTAATGTGAGTTTTTGGTCCATGGGAATGTGTGACTTCAGATCAGTGAATTGGAACTGGACCAAACTTTTAAGTGCTTTTTATAACATTTGTTTCCTCGCAATGGAGATGCTGTGTGATATTTCAACCACCACTGTGCACATGTTGAGTCACCATTACACCATAGGCTCTGCGTTCAATAAATCAGACATATGATAAGAGCGGTGATTTGTTTTGTCTTTGTTTTCATTGCGAGGCATTTTGTCAAAACTGCTTCTCTCCTGACCTTCTTTTCCGAGGTTAAATAGACCGTCCGTTCATGAAACATGATATTTTCTGTCACATGCCAGGCCTGCATTCACAAAGCATCTCAGCACAAAGGAATATGTACGGCTATTTAAACGCAACAGTGAGAAAGTCAGCTCAGCCGTTAGCTGTCAGGGTGAATCTCTGTACTGGTAATTGAATTTGGTGTGTTTCTCTTTTTTCTGTAGGAGTGAAAGAACACCAACTACAGGGTAATTCCAAGCAAAAGAGCGGCAACATTGGTGATCCCAAAACTCTGCAAGGATCCATTTAACAGGCAGTTTACATTAGTGGCACTTTAACACAAGAAGGGATTTCAGCCGCTCACATCCACACTCTCAGGCTTGATATGCAAACTTCAGGACAAAGACAGACAGATGGACGGGGAGACAGACGAGTAGGTTTTGAAAAAAATACAGGTAGTCTAACTAAAATAAGCACCTTACAGTTTTGGATCACCTGTTCACTTACCAGGACTTCGACAAGGCACGTTGTGTATGTAGATACGCAATACTGGCCTTAAAAACAACATACATTGTTTAATTAACACTGGGGTAAATGGTAAATGGTTTTTCACTTCACCTAGACCTCTGTTTCTGTAGCAGGCAATTGAACATTTTGATAAGTCAATAATTTTCCTGCCTCCAGACGCCGGGCTGAAGCAGTATTAATATGAGAAAGTGTTCACCCTGTCTGATCCCACCATCAAACACAGAGTGGAGGAGTGGGGAGGGGGATGAGGGTTATACAGGGAGTAGAAGATAGGAATGGCTGATTGGAGTTAGAAAGAGATGATGGCAGAAGGAAATGATTTTTTTTTTTTTGCCATTTAAAGGAATGCACTGATGTGGCAGCAAAATTTCGGTTTAAAAGGAGGGAAGCAATCATGAGAGTCAGAAATTTCTAAATTCCTGCGTGCCTTTAGCTTTTTCCCCCTCTCACTGAAGCTACTTTATATGAAGTGGCTCAGTATGATAATGGAAGGGATGCGTCTGATCTGTTGGAGAGAATGTCAAGTGTTAATGTTTCAGTTTTATCAGTAGCCGTTCCTGTGAAGATTCAGGTCAGGGTTTGGATATTACAGTGCAATTTATCACATTCCGACCCATGCAGTCCTCTTGCCGCCGGACTGCTGCGCATCGCCGCTGTCTGTTTAATAAATGGAACAACCCCACCCCCACCCCCCCACCCCATGTGCGTTTACCACTTTGTGTCAAATGTCCTTGTGTGCATCGCTGCCTAAAGAATCATCTGCAAGTCTTTTTTCATGTCACATGTCATTCCAACACTGAGTAAAACATCCAACGGAAAAAGCTGAATTGTCTGGACACAAACAGTCGGAGCAGCTGGTTTAATTGCAGTTGTTTTCAGTCATATTCCACTGGTTTCAATTTTTTTCTTTGAATCAGTTACAGAATCTGTGACGAGTGCTTCCTCAGCCAGCTGCAGTTTACACTTAGAGAAACAAAAGTATCTCATTGTGAACTGTTGTATATATGTAGCTGGCTTTTTTTTGCTGCCTTTAGTAGCTGATGATGCAGAAAATTGTGGACAATGACCTTTGAGCTGAAAGGGCTTCAAGCAGCCAGTCAGAGCCATTTGTGCTCGCTAAATTATCCAGAGCGTGGTTCTGGTTTTCCTGACTGATATAATATGCTTTGCTTTGTCACATGTTTCTAAATCGAGCGTAATCACGACCACAAATGCAGCACTTCAAAACTCAGGAACATAAAAATTCCTTATGATTTTAACATTCTGTCACAACATGCTGACATGTAAAATAATCACTGGCCGATAAGCGTACACACATCCATGACCACATAGCGACACGAGCTTCCTCATTAACCAGCGCGAGCACAGGCGTCACACGTGAGTTTGTGTAGTGAATGCGTCTGTTGTGTAGCAGTAGTGAGGTGTTGACAGAGAAGAAAGAGGAGCGGTCTTCAAACACATCCACAGGCAGGTCGTGCTCTCCATTATGCCCTGCCGGGGGCCATATTTGTTGATTCTCTGGCCCCCAAATCATTAATTTAAGTGCAGACGACGGCAAAGAAACCTGAGAATGGCGTCCAACGTGCACACACACACAAATTCACACGCAAGCATGTACATGCGCAGACACACATTTGGTCACATTTACACACAAGCAGTCTTACGAGCACACACACACACCCTGTGTTGCATAACAAATGATGGCACTTTAATTGCTGTGCCTGTTTATTTACTCCTGGATGTAATGGATGGTCCTTCTTTGCCAGGCAGCCAATCAGAGTGAGACAGGAAGAGTGTGAGCAAGCCCTGCACAACTGGACACATTCCTTACAATCAGACATTTCTCTGTACACACAACACACTCTAACCTAAGATGCTACTATTAAAGACCTGTTGCCCTATTACGCGTAAGATTTTTTTGGGTCAGACCAAATCCTTTTCTGCCGCAGAAAATTCCCGAACTTTACCTGTGTAGAATTAAAGTTCTTTCACCATACCCTCTACTGAGTGACTGATGATAACGTCTTCAGTCATTGGTAGTTATTTTGGGGCCTATTTGCTCAGCCAATGAGGCGCCCCCAGCGTGCCAGACATACATCATTGTTTCTTTCTTTTTTTTCACAACCTAACCCTCAGGAAAGAAGTGAGTTGTTGCTGACTGCTGTGCAGCCTGAATAACAGACACATTCCGATAGTTTTTTTTTTTTATTAATGAGCACTTGATGTTTGGGCTGCTGCCAACTGCATTTAGAGCATTCTTAAGGAGCTCCGGAGACTCTCCAGACAGTTAGAGGAAGAAAATGGTCAAGCTATAGCTAAGGAAAAACAAAATATCTACACTGGACCTGAGTGTTTCGGTTCTCTTTGTCCATTACCAGGCTGTGTAATTCTATGATGTAACCTTTTAGGAGATGACCAAGGAAATTGAAAACAACTTAAGATCCTTGGCTAGATAATGCATCTTCATATCCCTGTGTGGATTTCAGCATTTGTTTTTCATTCTTTGTGGTTGACCTCTCATACTGATTATTTTTTCTCAATGTTTCTTTCCACAGCTGCTTGTGGAGCCACGTACCATGAGGTTTTGAGAGCTTCAACTGCAAGTCAACTGGCCCACACCTCCCCAGCAACCTGACCGCCATATGAACAGATATACACACTCCCGCTATTTAAATGTATTGTGGTCAAGTCCAGTGTTCAGTCGCTCAGAAATTTGAATGTCACCTTCACTGACATGCACAGTGGCCCACTGAGGGCCCACAGCCCACTGTGGGTGAATGTCCCCCAACAGAGCATCAGCCATCAGTGCGCAGCTTCAAGGTATTGGCAAGCGGTCCACTGCCTTGATTTCCCTCGCTGTTTCCAATAGACTGGGAGCTGGATTCATTTTACAGTACCACGGTGCTACAGAGCTCTGGCTTCACATCAACCGACAATAACCACTTTCGACTACTAGTGTGGCTAAGGCTGAGCCAGTGGAACTAGCCGTAAACCCATGCCAATTCCTGACTGGTTAATGATGGCATGAATGTGCTTACTTCTGCAGCTAAATATCAGACTTTTGTAAATATCACAACATGGACCTCAAAATCCACAATCCACAAGAGACCTTCTCGATGTACCGTGCCAAAGGAGACATCCCTGTCTGCTGAAACAAATTACTGAAAAGGGGACTGCATCATCTGAATCATTTGGGCTAACCACCTAGTCACTCATATGTCTGACTATCTCCCATTTCCTCCAGAGAGATCAACAAGAAAAAGCTAATTTCTGCTTGAAGATGCCCCCCCCCCAAAAAAAAAAAAAAAAAACAAACAAACAAACAAACAAACAAAAAAAACAACAAAAAAACAAAAAAAACAGTTTGGAGGATCAGCTTACACCTTCTCTAAAAATCAGGACCTTAATTAACAGGGGAGGAAACACAGCTGACCTGAAATCAGCCAGATTACTGTAAGAACAGTGTGTTTATACATTTCTCCTTGTGTTCTTTTAGCCTGCTGTGCGTTTGTTTAATGAACCGATATCATGTTCTGTTTGCTTTTCTACATCCGAAACAGTTTTGAGTGCCACTCTTCTTCTTCTTCTTTTTTTTTTGAAGTTGTAACAGCTGTGTGTGACTTACTGCACTGATGAGTGATGTATTATTTTGTTGTCTGTTTATTGATCCTGTGAATCTGAGTGGCTCATCTGTTTATAATGAAGTGACTTGCATTTGAAAGCACTGTGTTATTACTTTTTTTTCACTGTACTGGAGGTGGATCTGAGGTGACGATTATGTACAGTATTGTTGTGTTTTGATTCAACAGCTTAACAGTGTTTCCATTTGGCCCTTACCTAATATGTACAGTTTTTGTACAGTGTGTGTGTGTGTGTGTGTGTGTGTGTGTGTGTGTGTGTCTGTGTGTCTGTGTGTCTGTGTGTCTGTGTGTGTGGTTTTGTGCTGCTCTCATGATTGTGATGACTGTGAAAGTTTGGGGGGGAACAGTATTCGCCCTGACTTGTTCCACAGTGTTTTGCAGTGGTCAGCTTGTCTCTGTTGTTTGAATAAAAGTTGTTTTCACAAGAACTACAACATGTGTTTTATCAGAAAGACAATAATGTGAACATTGACATTGTCAGTGTTATTGGTAAATTTGAGTGCAACAATGGGTATTTTCACAAGATTAAAGTTTCACCGCCACTAATGGCAACTACAACAATAGACTCTTGCACTGCCCAAGAAAGAATTCTTCCCAGTTTTCATGGTCTACCAATTCTCTCTCTCTCTCTCTCTCTCTGTCTCTCTCTCTCTCTCTCTCTCCCTCTCTCTCTCTCTCTCTCCCTCCCTCTCTCATAAACTCAGCCAGATGTTGCCCAGTTTTCTTCCTAGGGGAACGTGGGAGGATGGAGGAAGGGGGTGGATGGAGGAGGAGGGAGGGGGGGGGGGGTATTGAGGCATGGTGAGGGAGCGAGTGGGGATCATGAAATGTGGCACAGAGCAATGTTTTCAAGCAAAGCGTCTCTCTTTTGATGCTGCCGCAGCCTCTCCCAGCATCCACCACGGCGACATTAGCTGGGAGCAGAACCCAACGCCGGATTCGCTGGCATCTCACACTCAGGCCTGCTGCAGGTATTCACACAGTCATGTGGAAAGGGTTTCAATCCTGAAGGAGATGCAGGCTTTGAGAAAAAAAAAATGTGACATGCATTCAGAGAAAGTGGTGTTTTACACAAAAGCATCTTAAACCATTTTGGAGGCTTTGGTTTTCATTTTTCTGTTTGACTTTTTTCTCTGTTTAGGGGTTTGAAATTAAGTTTTTATGTACAATTTTCTTCTTTTTATACACTAATACAAATTAGACTATTTAAAACGTTTGCATTAAAACTACACAGTGTATATAAAAGTAAATTCAGCCTGTTTCAGTGCTATAAAAAGCCACAAAGCTGGAAGCCAAATTAACCACCTTTTATCACATATACTGCCAATGTAGGGTTGAGGGACTGAATTCTTTTAAATGAGTTCTGCAGCAGAACTTGAGCAGATTGATTGCGCACTTGACTGAGGACCTCTTCCCTCCCTCTGCCACCTGAGGGGAGTCTTTATGTGAGCATGCAGCCAGATATCCAGGTGACTGTCCCCTTCTATTATTTTTTTATTAGAATTGTTGTAGCTCTTTTGCTGACTGTAATTCTATCTCCATTTCCTCAATCCAAATGAAATTCTGCCCAGCGCAACTGAAAATAACACCGCTTTCACCCTTCAGTGCCTTTACTGTGTGTGTGTGTGTGCGCGCGCGCGCGCGCGCGGACTGAGAGTCCACAGTGACACTACAGTGAAACTATTAAACACTTTGCCCTCTTGACACTCATCATCGGGTTCACTTGAAGAATATCGAACTGTTAGGCGACGGATTCCTGCGGCGTGTTTTGAGATAATGTACCATAAAATAATAATTACCGTAATGACCGTTATGCTCGCAGGCCTTCAGGTGATGAGAGCAGCCTGTATAAGCACACGATATGGACCTGCTTGTCTTGATTTTACTTTGAGTGGTAACTCGATCTGCTGCCAGTGAAAATCCTAACTTTGCTCTGGTATGGATAGGGTAATAGCCTCGGGTGCTTTATAAGTTTATTTTAGGTAATAGAGACGCTTGTTTTGTTACAGCCTGTTCCGCCCTTCTCTCTTTCTCTTTCTCTCTCTCTCTCTCTCCACAATTTTACCTAACACTCAAATTCCTCGCTTCTTCAAAGTTGGTGACTGGCAGAAGAAAAAAGGGATTGGAGGAGAAATGTGAAGCGCATGCGCCATCTGAAGGTTTTGCGCTGCGCATCCATGCTGCAGTGTGCTAGTTTGTGAGAGGAGGCGACTGAAGCAGGTGAGTGAGAGAGAGAGAGAGAGAGAGAGGAGAGAGGGAGGGATAGTCGGCAATACTTTTCTGCACTTCAACACACACAGACACACACATACGGTGTGGGAAGAAGACAGACTTGGAGCCTCAGCAAAGCCGCTGTTGTTCACACGCTGTGCTCTTTTCCTCCCCCTGGCACCGTGCGCGCTCGCCAAGCCGCACTGTTTGGAGATAGTCCGCGCGGAAAGTTTTTTGGAGCATACTGTCTGGAGCCGATTAATTGTTGCATCTGTTTTTTTTTCTCCATTTTTTTCTTCTGTTTTCTTTTTTTTTTGCGTGCCGGACGACTTTACTGTTTTGCATGTGAAGACTTTTAACTGGAGCTGAGGAATTGTCAAAGTGTTTTTTTTTTGTTGCACAGAATGGAAGGTAAATTGACATGTCGTTTGTGGCGAGGATCGCCGTGTGGATCTTTCCGCAGGTAAAACGCGCTATGACCTGAGCGCGTGTGAGCGGCTGGATTTAATGTTCTTGACAACATTTGACGTGTTTTTTGGTTTGATAGAGTTTTAGCAATAATCTGGAGTAGTCGTCACTCGGACAGGGACTATAAAAGTAGGCCGCTTTCAATTAGAAGAGAATCGACTAAAGTACATGCGACGTTTCCGCCAGCTGCACTTTGGGTTGCCGTAGAGGGGTTTTATTTGTGAATAGTTACCGCAAAGTCACACACTGACTCGTTAAAGCAACTGATCCGTTTTCCTCACACTGTCTTTGGACATTTTATACATCTCGCTGCCTCCTTCCAGCCCTCTAAGCTGCTTGGCGCACGGAGCGCATTCACTGATTTCTTGGGCGTCCGTGTTCACCAAAACACCAAACCTGAAGAACTCTTAGCTTTAGCACTTCACTTCCTTCACCCCCAAACGAAGCACTTTTCCAAGAGATCCGGATAAAGCGACGAGACTTGTCTTCACTACAGAGCGGAAAGGGAAATCTTAAATCCACCTGGCCTGCACTGGGATTATTGGTTTGATATCGTCTGCAGAAAGTGGATTAGCCTGCAACTTCTAACGGGCTGTGCTCCCTGGTGAGTAGCCTACAGGTCTTCTGGTTCACTCAGCTTCCCATGCAGCCGCACTTAAACTCTGGATAATGTGTGTTTTGTGTAGACCCTCTTTTTTTTTGGAGTAATACTAGTTCTTGGATTTGGATAAAAGTTCTTGACAGATGTGATGTGTGAAACATGCCCCCTCCCCTCACTCCCCCCCCCCTCCCATTGCGTTCACTGTGACCCATATGTCAGTGTCCTGCAAGGCAAAGAATGAGTTCAATACAGACAAAACCATACGTCATTTGATATTAGGTAAAATGTAAAAATGAGTCAGCTTTCTCTTTGCTATTGTTAACGGAACCTATTTAAAGTCAGGCAATGTCCTTTGTGCTGCTTCTCTTCAAACCCTTGTACCTGGCTCCCTCTCCTGGTTTTTTTTAAACATCAGGACAGACAGGCAAAGACACTCATCAGTGTGCTTTATTAAATGCGGATTAAATGTCCTCCATTTGTCAGTAAATTATGGTGCTATGCAGTTTAGGAAAGTTCAATTTTTTTTTCTTGAATTGCTCTACGGATTAAATGTTGGTCTATTTTGTTTTTTGCCCAGGACCCACACACCCATACCCTCAAAAAACTACAAATTCATTGTTAGCATATACATTATCAAAGGGATTAGAGATGCATACTGCAAATATTATATCTTAAATAAGACCAGTTGTTCATTAAAAGTTTCCAGAATTTGACACTCAACGCACCCTAATGCTTTCCCCTTCACATTTCTATAATTTGTTGCTAAAATTATTGTTCTATTTTATTGTAATAATATGTTGGATATTTTGGCCAAAGGTCTAAGAAAAAATAAATAAAAATAAAACATATAGGCCCAAATCTGACTAAAAGGTGAAATAATTCCAAACACTTTTCTCATTTTCAAGAACCGGTAGGCATCTTATTTTCACTAACTCTTACAGTTTTAAACTTGAGTGATTTAGTTCTTCGGAATAACCTCCTAAATGATCCGCTGCCCGAAATTTTATCATTTTGACGACGGTTTTTCTAATTGTTCCCTTCCTGTAAATTGTTCAATTTGATGCCACTTTCACCGACAGAAATCTGCAGGGTAGTCATCAGTCATCCGGTTCAGTCATATGAATACTTCACTCGGGTCAAATCGTTTCCAGGGGTCACGGAGCGCAGGATTTACGCAGCTTTCACTGGCGATGCCGAAAACAGGAGTGTGTTTTTAAGTTTACGAAAATGATACTGACGAAGTTCTGCGCAGTGTTGAATAGCTGCAGCCACTGAAACGAATAAAACCCTATTAAAAAGTACGAATTCATAAATAACAGACTCCTCTCTTCTTTGTCTTCAGACGAATCGAACTGTTCTCCTCTCTGATTGGCTGAGACTCAGTTGGGACGTGTTAGGTAACTGCACGCACCTGTGGCATCCTGACAGTCAGTTTGAATATGAATGAGCAGAATCAAATCTGTGTTGCTGGGCACCACCGCTGTTGAAATAGTGTCCAATATGGCGCAAAAATAATATTTAATTGTAGATCTGAATTATCCATAAATTAAAATATGCTTCCTGGTGGGCGGAACAACTCAAATGAACTGTGATCAGTGTAAAACCGCCACCCTCTGCGGATTATTGCTTCAAGTTATGTGGATGAACTGCAAAGAACATAACATCACCAACTGTTACTGAGGCAGCACACAAACTGAAAGCACATGCTCGTTTGTGTGTGTGTGTGTGTGTGTGTGTGTCTGTGTGTGTGTGTGCGCGCGCGCGCGCATGCGTGTGTGTGTCCGCGCGCGCGGGGGCGCTGGGTGAGTGATGGTGAACTTGGCCTTGTCTTTAATGAGTATTAGGCAGGCCCAGGTCTCCACGACTCAACCCTGGAAAATAACGCAGCATGACAAATTAGAGCTGCTCTCAGACCCAAAATTCACACACGGCCCAACTGGAAGGCTGGCACATCGGTTGAACTCGCAAATTTAGGGGTAATTATTTTAACTCATTTTCTGCCTGCACTGCAGCCAAACTATATCACCAGAGCCACACAGTTGTCTGCACAGAATTAACTTTTTTTCCCTTTAAATTCCTTGTGTAGTTTTCGTTTGGCTGCACAGTAAAACCAGGCGATACACCATCCTCCGCTGACGTGGCTCCTTACAGACCGATCCACGTTCAATTAATAAATTAAAATTAATTACAATATAATTATGCACCGGCATGACAATGATTTGTCAGATTACATATTTAATAGCCAGACACACCATAGTTCCCGTAAAGAAAACTAAAAATCAAAAATCAAAAAAATCAAACACGTCTTCTTTTCAATTTCCGCGTCATGTATTCCTGCTAACTCGCATTAGAATATTTTAAATTAAATATAATGAAAACAAATTTTACAAATTTGTATGACAATTTTATTTCACAGACATGTTTCTTATTTACAGAAAGAAATTAACTAAATAAAATCTTGTCAACAGGAGTCAATACAATCAGGTCTGCTATTGGTTGAAAATGGAACAATATGGAAAACATAAACAAAATGATTGTTTTTGTTGTTTTAAGTGAACCATATTTGCATTAAAAGTGAAATCATAACTGTTGGTTAAAATTAAGATTTAGTTTTACTTATTTCAACAGTAAATGTGAAGCCTAAAATGTATTTAAAATAAGGTATACACACACACACACACTGTCTGATTATAAGTCTCTATGTCTTGTCTTTGTCTCTCTCTCTCTCTCTCTCTCTCTCTGAGTAAAGTGAACAGTCAGTCAGGAATATGTGTAGTTGGGGTTTCATGGTCATTGTGCCTTCTCCGGCTGTACGTCTATCAGTCATATGTGATTCACACTCAGACCTGCTGCCAAATGACTGCTCTGCAAGCACTGATAGCCTCAGGGCACTCATCACACACACACACACACCACACATACATGTGCAACACTCTTTGCCTGTAAAAGGGGGGGGGGGTTTATATATATATATATATATATATTTATATATATATAGGCATGTAGCTGAAAGAATTTTTCCTGTATTCCCATGATACATTTTAACATAATGTATATCTGTCTCTGTCTTTTTCTGTGTTCTACTCAATAAACTGTGTGTGAGAGACAAACATCCACACAGACAGACTGACATGCATCCTGTTCTCTGTCTGTCCTCCCACAGATCAGCGGCAGTATGAACCTGGGGCTGGGCTGTGTGTGTCGGCCGGTTTGCTGGCCCTTTGGCAGCTTGTTGGACTCCAGACACTGTGTCTTTGCCCTCACACTCCTCACACTCCTCATGCAGGTGGTGGTGGAGGCCAACTCGTGGTGGTATGCATTAATTTTCTCTCCATATGTACAGTATTTTCTGTGTGTGCCGGTGTGTGTGTGTCTTGTTTTGTGCACAGTGTGTTTTTGTCATGTGGCGAGTGGAGATTGTCAGCGTTCAAAATGCATTTTCTTCTCTTTTTCACTCGTACATGAGTCACATTTGTAAATGGAGCAGCAGTGGACAAAAAGCTCAGAGAAAGGCCAAAAATTTAGATTGATATTGATTTTGGAAAAAAAATCTTATTAGTGTTTATCTTTTACTCAGTTTCAGAGTCAATTTCAGGGTTGTGTGTGTGCGTGTTTGATAAGTAATCCTCCTCAGCTTCAGTTGCACCACATATGAAGTAATACAACATGCTGACTGTGGCACATTAGCTTTTCAGGAAGACCTTTTTTCTCCCTTATTTTCTTTCTTCACATATTGCCAAACCAAAATTATGAATATTATAGAAAACATAGAATGCTGTGGTTTATGAGTCGGCGTCCAAATATGTGCAAACACGAACACCGTGTGGGACTGCACATATGTGTTTTGTGTCTGGTACACACACACACACACACACACACACACACACATGCCCTGCTGCCTTTAGGAGAACAGTATATATTTGAGCATGCTGCACTTAAACACACATAGTACTTCTGATATGGGAAAATGCTGTTTACCAGTCACCATAGAAACTCCTCACATCCTGTGGTTGTTTCTGCGTTTTTATTTAGTTGTACACTTGTGCATAATTGTGTATCCCCACTTGAGTGCTTGTAGAAGAACATGAAGCATTTACAGTAAACCCATACTTCCTGTGTAAGATTTTTATTTACTTCAAATGAGCAGATCAAAGCGAGCGGTGACATCATGTGGTGATAGAGCAATTATATGAAAATAACAATTTAAACAATTAATTTGAAGAGGATTTATACAGATAAACATATTTTTAATGGGCTCAGCTCAGTGGGCGGCTACATTAAAGTTCATATAATGAGTTGGATTACGGACCCAGCTGAGGACTCGCACATTACCACAGAGCTTTTGGAAAGCCCAGTTTGGAGCGCAAACTGTGTGTCTTTTGGTTTCCTCTTTGAGAGGACACACAGGTGTGAATGATTTAGAGTGTCAGAGCAGAGGGTGTGTGTGAGACCGAGCGCATTAACAGTGTGTATGTTGAATTTTTTTTTTTTTTTTTTTTTCTTGTCTTCCGTGTGCTTATGTCTGTATGTCTGTGTATATGTTGTGTGTGTTTTCAGTCTGCGTTCCCTCGCTGCTGAGTTTCCCCAGTCGATCAGGTTACACTGGGGGCTAATTGTCTCTCTCTTGGGGCTCTGGGATGGGCTGCTCTAATTGTCCTGTGGCCTGGAACCAGATGCTCATACTAGTGTTTCTCTCTCTCTCTCTGTTTCAACTGTGTTTGTCCCTCTCTCTTTTCCCTTTAATTCATTTTTATTTCCCTTTCTTCCTCTCAAACAGAACCGAATGCGGCGGTAGATGAAATGATTCGATTTTACCACAAAAGGGTCGCCGGCATTCATAGCTAAGAGCTGTCTGCTCAGTGCCTTGACTTGGTTTGAGGAAACATGAATTATGACAAACAATTCAGCAAAAAAGTCAAAAAGTATTGTCGCTTTCTAGTAGGTATAGTGAGTGCTTAGTCAGCTAAATATTACCCTCCAAGACAGTGGTTTCCAGCCTAAAGTTGGGACCCGGGTGAACACTGTGGGGTCACAAGATAAATCTGAAGGGTTTGCGAGCTCTTAAACAAGTTAAGAAAGAAGAAAAAAAAAAATCACAGTTCAGGCACGCAAAGCTATGTTTATGTTTTATGAGTTTTCTTACATCTTTGTTTTGTAAAATACTGGTATAGTTTTGCCTCCTAAGGTCTCAACTGAATATGATTCAAGTGAAACAATCTTAGACGGGGCATATCACAGCAGTATTCAGCCTGTGACAGAGGTTCATGAGTAGGTATTGCTTGACTTTAAACTGCTACAAGTGAAAAGGAGGTTGGAAACCAATGCTTTAAGGTGACCGATTTGCTTTTTCTATTTCTTCATGAATTTTTATGTTACCCTTTTTTTCTTAACTTCAAATTTTCCAAATTTCACTTTTTCTCTTCCCGACTCCCTTGTTTATGTTTCCATTTACTTTATGCTCTTGTCCCTGAATGGCACATTTTCAGTCTAGTGTCAGTAAAACAGCTTAGAGCGTGCAGGGTCTCACTCCGTCCAGAAACTAACTGCGCCTCATTTCAATAACGAACACAGCTTCAACCAATCAAGTGAAATCAGCTGTTGATTGTGAAAACCTGAAAACTTTGCACACATTTGTTATAATGACACATGAGTCAAAACAACTGCATTATGCGCCCCTCTCATCCAGGTCTCTGGCCATGAATCCTTTACTGATCCCGGAGGCCTACATCATCGGTGCCCAGCCTCTGTGCAGCCAGCTGGTGGGGCTGTCGCAGGGCCAGAAGAAGCTGTGCCAGCTCTACCAGGACCACATGCAGTACATCGGTGAAGGTGCCAAGACAGGCATCAGAGAGTGCCAGTACCAGTTCAGACAGCGGCGCTGGAACTGCAGCACAGTGGACAACTCTTCTGTTTTTGGACGGGTCATGCAAATAGGTAAATAAGCAAAGATAATGGCTTATATTCTCAGAAACATATGCATAAACACAAAGGAGATTAACAAATACCAACACATGCACATGTTCGCAGTACATCTTCACTAATGTTATTTAGTATCCGTACATTCTGTCTTGCCTTTCTTCATTCTTCCACTCTGTGACTCACTGACCCTCTTTTGTGTGTGTTTGTGGAAGTGTGTGTATGAAATGTATGGGGCTGCTGATTCTCAGCAGCTGTGTGGAGGGAATAGTTGGTGGGTGAGGTTGCTGGATAAATCACATGTGGCTTTGGCCTGCTAAACCAGCTCCCGACATGGAGCAGGAGGGAGGCAGAGAATCGGCTTTTCCCCTGATGAATGGGAGACAACCTAACATACACACGCACACACTCTTACACACACACACACACACACACACACACACACACACAGACACACACACACACACAGACACACACACACACACACACACATACACACACACACAGGCGCACACTCTGGATTTGGACTGTAGCTGGCCTGTATTTACAAGTAATAGGAGTGCAGTGAGTGTATGCGCCAATATATCACCTTGTCAGAGATTACACTGTACGTTTGTGTGTGTGCGTGTCCATGTTCATACAATGTGCTCAGATCTCTTATAGAAAATTCAAGAACTTTACAATCCACTCTTAAAAGTGATTCCCACTACTGGATGCTATCATTTAACATGGTTTGTTTTAGTTTTCTTTGGATGTTTGCCTTCACCTCGGGGGCTAATGTGAAGGTGGTTTACCATTTATTGATCATAACTCTCCAGCTGAATTACAATGAATCTATACAAGGTCAGAGTTGGGATCATAGCAGCAGGTTCGGAACAGATCCCATGTTTTAGTAGTTAGCACTCGTAGAGCTCACATTTTGGGATTCTTTCAAATGAATTTTCAGTAACTCAGGCAGAAAGCTGTGCATTTTCTTCGTTTTGCTACTCTTTAAAGGGGCAGTTCACCCAAATTCCTGAAAAAAAAAAAAAAAAAATTCTTACTCATATTGCACGTTGAAAGTTTAGCTTTTTCATTTGTCCAGATTATGAGATATCCATGCCCAAGATTTCTGCTCTCAACCCAGTGCAATTAATGGAAGAAATGGTGAATGGAATTTCGATTGCGGTGCTCACAGCTTTAAAAATAACAGTTAATGCACTCAGCAGCAGCTTGTCTTTCCAGAAATAATGTTCCCATTGCTCTGGGTAATCCACCAAACATGCTGTAAACAGTTTTCATGGTGACAATTTTTTTTTTTTTTTTTTTGGTAGAAAGTAATGATTACACCATCATCTGTGGATGATCCCAAGTAACCAGGACATTATTTTTGGAAAGAGAGGCTGCTGGTGAATGTAAAACTAAAATCAAAATTTCATTCAGTTGCTTTATACTGGGGTAGTTGCAGAAATCTCAGAGATGGATATCTCACAACCTTGGCAAACTATCCGCAGTGATAGTTACCACTTGCGGTAAGCGCTAATGTTTTTTTTTTGTTTGTTTTTTTTTTTCAGGCGAACCAACCATTTAACATGCCGTTGTTGTGAATATACCCTACATGACATAGTTGACCCACATGTGATTGGGTCTGTGTTTTTACACTCTTCTTGGCGATTCTTCGCGTCTGTGTCTCTGGCGTTGCCGACTCCCTCCCCACAGATCAGTCTTCATAGAAACCTCATCAGCAGCCATTTCCCAGTTCCTCTTCTTCCTCCCTCTCCCTCCCCATCATTGCTTCTATCTCAGACCACTCTGGGCCAAGTAAACATGTCCTCCCCCGTGCTGTATGTCTGTCTATCCGAACACCCGTCTCACTGTCTGTCTGCTGGCTTAGGACACTGCTGGTGATTTAAAGCTGAGCTCCAGGGGGTGCTGGCGTGGTTGGGTTCAGACCCTCTCCCCTGCCTGGTTTGGCTAGCTGCAGGGTGGGGTACAGGAGAAGGGAGGCTGCAGTGTGGGAGACAACAGTTTGACTGTCTACAGGTCCACTATTAGGCCAATATCCTCAGGCTGGTTTAAAAGTTGTACTAGACTAATAAATAACCCCCCCCCACTCCCTTTTCTCTCTGATCGCCTCCTGCCAGAGTTTCCCACCTGGACTTCTTTCAGACTTTCCAATAGGTTTCTTTATTCATCTTTTCTCTTTTCCGTCATTGTCTTTTTCAGCCTTTTGTGATATTAAGTGCGTGCATGTGTTTCCTTTTCCATTTTGCTTACTTTTTTTCCCCTTCAATGTCTTTTTCTGAACTTATCTCTTCAGTCGTCTTTTCTTTCTCCCCCCTCATCTCCCATTCTCTGTCCATCTGTTATTGTCATTATAGCACGCTCTCTAAAGGTTTAGCCCAGCAGGTATACGAGCTGTGCATTTTTATTTTGTAGCAACCCCTGTCTTCAGCGTTAACACGAAGCCTCGTAGTAATGTCGGCTATTTCTTCTTTTGTTTCTTCTTTATCTCCTCATCTTGATTTTCTCTTGTAGACTGTGGTTTTGTTCAGTGGTGGTAGTAATGGATAGAGCATTTGGTGGCAGAAAAATCTGCTTATGTGTATTTTTGTGCGCGCGTTATTTTTCTTTAAGGTTTCTTTTTAAATTTCCCGACCTCTTGTCTCTGTGGAGGAAATGTTGAGGGTAAAAACAGCGGGAGTTAATGAGCAGTGGCTCCAGAAACTCTCAGTCATGACAGATAAAGTAAAAGAGTTGTTGTCACTTTTAATTTGGGTGAAATGATGGCTGCTTGTTAGGAAGGAGCTCTGTCACTGGAGGGCGCTGTCTTCTCTCTGGCTGAAGCCCAATAACAGCAAACCAGATTCCACTGTTCAAAATGTTGGTGATGAGGAGCCTCCAGCACTTGGCTGAAGTGCTCTGTAATCTTAAGTGTATGGTGAATGCTGTCATATGACATCACATCTCATAACACTGTGCAGATTCTTAAAGCAAAATGACAGTGAGACACACTCAGTATATAAAATAACCACACATGCTTAAGATACAGAAATGGAAGCAGTGGATGGATTTGCCAAAAGATAAAATTTCATTTTTTTTCTTTTTTATATTTCTCATTTACTCTGTCTCTTCTTGGGTCAAGTGTGACATGACGTTCCTGTTCTGTGTGTCCGCAGGCAGCCGAGAGACGGCGTTCACGTATGCCATCAGCGCAGCAGGGGTGGTGAATGCGGTGAGCCGTGCCTGCAGAGAGGGGGAGCTCTCCAGCTGTGGGTGCAGCCGTGCGGCTCGGCCCAAAGATCTGCCACGAGACTGGCTGTGGGGCGGCTGCGGAGACAACCTCAACTACGGCTACAGGTTCTCCAAGGAGTTTGTGGATGCACGCGAGAGGGAGAAGAGCTACCCCAAAACGTCGTATGAGAACGCGCGGCTGTTGATGAATCTCCACAACAACGAGGCAGGAAGGAGGGTAAGAGACTGGGGTTTGCACGCACAAACACACGCTCACAAAAGTTTGTTTATGTGTCATCAGATATGAAGCAACCAGAAAGATATACACTGCAAGCCTGAAAGTGAGACCAACCAGTGATTAGAAAGAGCAAGAAGAGTTTGGAAGTGAGACAATCCAGGTCAATCAGATAGGTCTCCGCTGATCATCTGTGTAACAGCTCTGTCTGCTCTCCCCTCCTGAGGCTTTGATCTGTGGGGAGATGGAGTCATTGGAGGCAGCTCTGGGATTTCTTTTCCTTTCCAAACATCTTGAAACCACCTCAAAGGAAACGTAATACCAGATATCTTTTGCCAGGCTGTTTTCTTTCAAGTAGGACAAATGAGTGGACAACATTTTATTCAGTGCACCATTGGAGACATGGTCAGGATCATTCGGCCCTGTATTGCAAAGTAATGCTCTATGAGATCATGAGCCGAATATTGTGCAAATATTTATGCAGACAGGACAAATTAGAAATATGAAGCATGTGTCACTTGTTTTTTTTTTTTTTCCTGTACTTTGCCACATAAGAATCATCTGTTTTAATCCGAATATTTCTTTTCCCTTTTTCTCTCCCCCTTCTCTCCCGCTCTCAGACGGTGTCGGACCTTGCCCACGTGTCCTGCAAGTGCCACGGGGTATCAGGCTCCTGCAGCCTGAAGACCTGCTGGCTGCAGCTGGCCGACTTCCGCAAGGTGGGTGACGCACTGAAGGAGAAGTACGACAGCGCTGCCGCCATGAAGCTCAACTCGCGTGGAAAGCTGGTGCAAATGAACAGCAAGTTCAACGCTCCCACGAGCCACGACCTGGTGTACATCGAGTCCAGTCCAGACTACTGCCTGAAGAACCAGAGCACGGGCTCCCTGGGCACAGTGGGGCGCCTTTGCAACAAGACGTCAGAGGGCATGGATGGGTGCGAGCTGATGTGCTGCGGCCGCGGTTACGACCAGTACAAGGCCCAGATAGTGGAGCGCTGCCACTGCAAGTTCCACTGGTGCTGCTACGTCAAGTGCAAGCGCTGCACCAAAATCGTAGACCAATTCGTCTGCAAGTGAGAAGAGGAGCGTTGCCTGCGTGTGTTCGCTTGCAGACGATGGGCGTACATCTGTGTGTATTCATGAGCAGAGGAGCAAAGGAGTTGAACACAGTGAGAGAATGGAAGAAAGAAACTATATAAATTATATTTATAGAGTTAAACAGTTATGCCATTGCAAAAAGACTGACTCTTTTTTCAAAAAAAAAAAAAAATCTTATGTCTTCAGAAACTGAGAGTATCGTGAAATATTTATTTTGAGATTGTTATGTTTTATTTTGGCCCAGACATCACCAGCCAATTTTAACCCCTTCAAGTGCCTGATAATGGCTGGAAATCCTCCCCCATCCCACCTGCACCATTTCTTTTTTCTTTTTTTTTCTTTTTTTCAAAAAAAACACCCCTTTTCTTGTCAGATGGGTCACACTGATTGCGAAATTGGACTGTGCTTCTCATTTCCTAACAAGAGTATAGAGTTTGATATTTGTGGCGTAGTTGACTAAAAGGTCCTGATTTGTTGTTTGAGACTGACTGTGTTGAGAGGAGAACGCCTGTGTGCTCGAGTGTATGGATGTGTTTTCATGGGCCACGTCCCAAACCACCCTTCACATCCTCACCAAAAGTCTGCTTGTCCCCTCTCATCACATGTAGAGTCAGGAACACTGTTGGTTCGTTCGAGTCCTTGGAGTACAGTGGCGACAATAAGAGGGCTGTTTTGGGGATTGGGCCATTTATTAAGCTGTCCCAGAAGCCTTAGTGTTCCCCAGGTGCTGCAGCAAGCCCTCCACCATTATGCACTTTGATACAGAGGCTTAAACCTGTCTGTACGTGTCTGTTCAGCTGTTTTTTTTTTTGTTTGTTTTTGTTATTTTTTACTACAGTGCATCAGCAAATATATCAATATTATAGCCTACATTCTTTTCCATATTAATTCAGATTATCCATTTAACATTATTCTACAATACTTAACATGGTTTGAATATATATGGGCAATGTTGTGGTTACAGTGGTGAAATATTCCATGCTCTGTGTATATAGTATGTCTATCCAACCAATCAGTAAACTGTATTTATTTTCTTTAACCAGATCCTCCTTTAAGCTTAAAACAGAAAAAGCATCTCCATCAGAGATGAGTATTTAGTCGGACATTCCCAAGGTTTTGGAGTCACTTTTTAAAATTTCGTTTTCACTAATGCGGCTCTTCACTGATTTTTCTTTTTTGTAAAGGGAAAAGCACCTTATTGTTTCAAAAACACATTCTTTTTTTTGTCCTCACTCATGTTCAGCTTTACTGTTACACACATATATATATCACAGATGTTCAGATTTTTATCATTGCCACAAATTTTTCCAAAACCACTCAGTTAACTGCTCACTATCCCTGTGATGATTCTCAATAGAAAAACTCTACCAATCCAGCTATGTATATTTATAAGCTTCTCCATGAATTTGTTGTTATAGTTGATATTTTGTTACTTTTTACAAATTGGCTCAATGCTCTTCTTTGTTTCAATAAATATCAAATGTAAAACCAGCAGAGAAGTAGTTACTCACACTATTTGTTTGTCTGTGCCTTTGACCTTGAAGTTCTTTTCCTCACATAAACCTCTTTCCTTTCCACATATACATTGCTAAATAAGTTTGTCTTCTTGAAAAGTGTGTGTGCCTCAGCAGAGATTCAACTACTGATTCTATAAAATAAGATACAACTTTTCTTTTTCGTTTTATTCGAACAGCACTTAAGGGTTTTTATGAAGTGGTTACATTCCTTCATTCAGCCTCCTCACCCATGGGCAGATTTAGTAACAGACAGTCAAACCCATGTTGGATGACAGCTGTTTCAGGCGTGGAGTGAACAAAGACGAGGAGAGTTTGCTTGAGAGCTTTGGAAGATGGTCTGGAGATTGGGTGTCTCTCAGGGGGATGGTTGAGGTTGTATTATAAGCGCTCCTCAACAATCCAATGACAGTGGATCAGTTAATGGAATGATTAATCATATTGTGTCAGGAGAATAGGAAGAGGGGGATTTTCAATGTGGGGGGAATGGGGCTGTCTGGAAGACGACTGGGCCTTGTCAGAGACTGCCGCAGCTCAAGAGGAGATGCAGAGAACAGGAGAGAAGATTGGGTAATGAGAAACGGGGGATTACATGAGGGCTGGATGAGAGGGGAGTAATAAGGAGAGGGGTTGTGAGAGGAGAGGCCCGAGGGAGAGGAGTGCTTTAAGGAAAGTAGAGCTGAAGGACTGCCATTACAGTGTAAACGCTCCTGACACTGACTAATATTTACACTGGTAAAATGATACTGACTTTAGGAGCACATCCCATATGTGACCCTGTCAATTGGCCCCATATGTGTGTCTGCGTACTTGCATATGCACCCACTTGCACAAAATGTGTTACATCATGACAAGTGTTTACATTTCTGATTGGTGTCACGCAGGCCAATAAGCAAAAGCAGGAGATACAAAGTTAGCAAGAAGGGAGAGAAACTGAAAGAGAGAGAAATGTAAAAAAAAAAAAAACTGACTCAAAGGAGACCAAGGCCAGTGAGAGGTTTTACATATTTGAACCTTCTGTCAACAGCAAGGTTTATAAGGATATGAAATCACCCTTCAGCTTCGTATTTTTTACGTACATGAAGGTCAGAAACTACTTGCACATGCTGGACGGGGATGTCTGAGTGAGTGACTGCCTTCATACCAGCAGGAGTCTTCTAGCTGTAGCATAAACAGAAATCCAGGTGCACAGCAGGCTGATACAGCAGGCGGGCGAAACCTGACACCAAAGCCGGCCCAAGGCATAAGCAAACTAAACGGCTGCTTAGGGCCTCGGTGGCCACCAGGGGGCCACCAGGGGGCCACCAGGGGGCCCCTAAGGGTGCTTGAAATGCCCCACAAGATCTTTATATATTTTAACACTAGGACCGCCAGCATTCTAGCACCCTTACCATACTATGACTTTTTATGCCTTACCACACTATGACGTTTTTATGCCTTACTTCACTGTGTTTTCATGGGGCGGCATGGCGATACAGTGGTTAGAACCATGGTCCCATGGTTATGAATTCAAACCCCGGGCCAGGGGGCTGTCTGTGTGGAGTTTGCATGTTCTCCCCTGTTCTCTTGGGGTACTCCAGCTTCCTCCAACAATCCAAAGACATGTACATTAGGTTGATTGGCGACTCTAATGCCTGACTATACCATGACGTTTTCATGCTTTTTTTGTGCATTAATATACTGTGACGTTTTTATCCATTACTATACTATGTTCTTTTATTGACTTTCTATGCCTTACTATACTATGACCTTTTTGGGCATTACTATACTATGACGTTCTTATGCCCTTTCATGCCTCAGTAGACTATGACATTTTTGTGCTTTTTTATGCCTTACTATACTATGACGTTTTTATGACATTTTTTGCTTTCCTATGCTATTACATTTTTATCCCTTACTCTACTATGTCCTTTTTATGAATTTTTATGCCTTATTGTAATATGACATTTTTATGCCTTTTTATGCCTCAGTATACTATGACGTTTTTATCCCTTACTATACTATGACATTTTTATGCCTTTTCATTCCTTGCTATACTATGACGTTTTTACCCCTTACTATACTATGACATTTTTATACCTTTTCATGCCTTACTATACTGTAACGCTTTAATTACTAATTATGCCTTACTATACTATGATATTTCTATAACTTGTTTTGCCTTACTTAAAATATGATTTTTTTATGACAGAAAGATGATAACGTGAACACAATCAGACCGACAAGTCAATAGTTCATTGTGGCTGGTTTTATTGGAAAAATGACAGATCTGGTAAAAGGCACACCAAGGTCTCTCTTTAAGAAAGAAAAGTTTGACTACTTGTTTGGTCACTTGCTCTCCGTGACAAACTCATGTTGATCTGGATAGCTTCACCTCTGTGGGGCTTCTTAGCTGTTACTCCTTCTTCTTCAGAGCTTTTCATATCATTCTCCATCTGTGGGGCTCTAACCATATAAGTACAAACAATACAATGTTTTTATGCCTTACTTTACTTTGACTTTTTTCTACCTTACTATACTGTGACGTTTTTATGACTTTTAATGCCTTATTAGTCTGTGTTGTTATTATGACTTTTTTTGCCTTACTATGCTATGACGTTTTTATGCCTTATTATACTATGACGTTTTCATGACTTTTCATCCCTTACTATAATATGCCATTTTTATATTTATATGCCTTGGTACACTTTGACATTTTTGTCTTACTATACTAACGAGTCTTCATGACCTTCTATTCCTTACTATACCATGACAGTTTCATTACTTTTAATGCCTTACTATATACTATGATGTTTTCATGAATTTTTATGCCTTATACTACTATGATGTTTTCATTCCTTTTCATGGCTTACTATATTATAACTTTTATGGCTTACTATACTATGAAGTTTTTTTTGCCTTTTTATGCCTTACTATACTGTGATGCTTTAATTACTAATTATGCTTTACCATACTATGACATTTCTATAACTTGTTTTGCCTTCCTTAAAATATGATTCTTTATGACAGAAAGATGATAACGTGAACACAATCAGACCGACAAGTCAATATGTCAATGTTGCTGGTTTTATTGGTGAAAAAATGACAGATATGGTACAAGGCACACCAAGGTCTCTCTCTAAGTAACAAAAGTTTGACTGCTTGTTTGGTCACTTGCTCTCCGATGTACGTGACAAGCTCATGTTGATCTGGAGCTGTTACTCCTCCTTCTTCAGAACTTCTCAGATCATTCTCCATCTCTGTGGCTCTAACCATATAAGTACAAACATAAATATTCATCGCTTTGACTAGGACCTTGAGATGTGTCCAAAATGTCTAGGTGTCCTGCACATATATACAGTCAACCATCACTTGTATTCTAAAGCCAAAGTTATATGAATGCAAAACATTTAAGACCTTACACCATTCTATGTCTTACTATACTATGACGTTTTCCTAACTTTTTATGTCTCACTATACTATGACATTTTTATGCTTTTTAATGCCTTATTATACTATGTCATTATTATGACTTTTTTGCCTTGCTATACTATGCTTTATTTACCTTTTTTGCCTTACTATACTATGTTGTTTTTATGACCTTTTATTCCTTACTATATCATTACGGTTTCATTACTTTTAATGCCTTACCATACGATCACGTTTTTATGACTTTTCATGCCTTACTATACTATATATTTTCTATGCTTTTTTATGCCTTACACTACTATGGCATTTTTATTTCTTATTATGGCTTACTTTACTATAACTTTCATGGCTTACTATACAATAATGTTTATATGCCTTTTTATGCCTTACTATACTGTGACGCTTTTATTACTAATTATGCCTTACTATACTATGACATTTCTATAACTTGTTTTTTACCATACTATTTTGTTTTATGCCATAATATTCTATGACATTTTTTGACATTTTCATGCCTTATTATACTATGTCCTTTAATTACTTACCAACGTATGACCTTTTTATGACCTTTTATGCCTTAATATAACATAATGTTTTTTTGACGTTTTATGCGATACTATACTATGACGTTTTTTCACATTTTTATGTCATACTATACTATGACCGGTTTTGGCATTTTATACGCCTTATTATACTATGTCCTTTTATTCCTTACCATACTAGGACCTTTTTGTGACCTTTTATGCCCTAATATAACATAATGTTTTTTTGACGTTTTATGCCATACTATCCTATGACGTTTCGTGACATTTTCAAGGCTTACTATACTATGTCATTGAATTTCTTACCATACTAGGACCTTTTTGTGACCTTTTATGCCCTAATATAACATAATGTTTTTTTGACGTTTTATGCCATACTATCCTATGACGTTTCGTGACATTTTCAAGGCTTACTATACTATGTCATTGAATTTCTTACCATACTAGGACCTTTTTGTGACCTTTTATGCCCTAATATAACATAATGTTTTTTTGACGTTTTATGCCATACTATCCTATGACGTTTCGTGACATTTTCAAGGCTTACTATACTATGTCATTGAATTTCTTACCATACTAGGACCTTTTTGTGACCTTTTATGCCCTAATATAACATAATGTTTTTTTGACGTTTTATGCCATACTATCCTATGACGTTTCGTGACATTTTCAAGGCTTACTATACTATGTCATTGAATTTCTTACCATACTAGGACCTTTTTGTGACCTTTTATGCCCTAATATAACATAATGTTTTTTTGACGTTTTATGCCATACTATCCTATGACGTTTCGTGACATTTTCAAGGCTTACTATACTATGTCATTGAATTTCTTACCATACTAGGACCTTTTTGTGACCTTTTATGCCCTAATATAACATAATGTTTTTTTGACGTTTTATGCCATACTATCCTATGACGTTTCGTGACATTTTCAAGGCTTACTATACTATGTCATTGAATTTCTTACCATACTAGGACCTTTTTGTGACCTTTTATGCCCTAATATAACATAATGTTTTTTTGACGTTTTATGCCATACTATCCTATGACGTTTCGTGACATTTTCAAGGCTTACTATACTATGTCATTGAATTTCT